AATTTGATTAAATTTTTGTTAAGTTATTGTTGTTTAAATAATAAAAAAAATTTATTTATAAAAAATTTGCTTGATTTCTATTGACTCAACCCCATATTTTCGATTAACCTTCAAAAAATATGATTCACTAGTTTGGGGTATAATATAGATCTATTAGTTTGGAACAGAATAAACATTACAATATCGAAAAATATTGTGCTTAACCTAGTCGATACTGTATCTTGGTTAAGGAAAAGTTTCATTAAACGAAAGGATATACGTATTATAAAATGTATAATGTAATGCATATACCAAAGAACCACTATCATAACAAAAAGTTAGTTTGGCCTTTAATTGCAAAATTTTTCAAAGTTTGGGGCCCTTATAATGTAATTATTTTCGCTTTGGCCCATGTTTGTAATTATTTTCATTTTTCGGGCCCTTATATGTAATTTCCCTAAGAACAATAGTTTTTCTATTTTTGCAAGTGTTAAATGATCAATGTTGTTTCAATTACAGATTTAATTTCAATTCGTATGATCCGATTAATCTTTTGATTAAAATTTTGAAGACAGACTAATAAGTTTATGCTTTCTTTGGAAATTACTAAAAATTTTTTTAATTATTGTTGCGGCTGATGCTGTAATTTGGATATTTTGTTATGAATTTTTATAATTTTTTTAGGGTGTTTTCCCCGCTTTTTTTTTAGGGTTGGGTTAAGATTTAGGGATAGAATTGATAATTAAAGAGTATATGTGGATTCTGGCAAGGCTTATATTTTCAAATAGAGTTCCTAGATTTCAGCAGCAGCCGCGACAATAATTAATATACATGAAAAATAATCTATAGTGTAAGAAACCTGCAAATAGATATTCTAAACAATTACACTGGAAAAATAACTTATATTTTGCAGCCTTTATTGTAAAATTCAATTACAAATAATATTTTTGTGCATGTATTTATATCCCAGCAATCATGAATGCGATTCACGAGTGTGAGTGGATCAGGAATATTTCGTGTTAATGTGAGAGGAGTATGAAATATCATGATTGAGAATATTCTATGGAATAAATTTTTCTCACTATCAAAATTTCAAGATCAGGTACAAAGCAAACAAAATTAAAAACAACCGAAAAAACGATAATAAACTATTAGCCTAATATAAACCCTAACCCTAATCTACCCACGAAATTTTCTTAGATCTTTTAGGTTTGTTGGCGCTATGGGCACTACGCCTCTTTACTACCTGGATGTGTACAGTATATGATCTGATTTAATCTCATATCTTAAGCGACGAATTAAGGCAGATCATAGCGGAACGAAATTATATTCATGTAATTTTAAATATGTACTCTTATCCGTCAGATTACTATGATTGGGTTATTTGGAACAAAAGATTATTTTGGCAATTTGGCAAAAATTGTTTTATTTTGTTTATTTGGCAGAAATTGATGGTTTATTTTGGTTATTCGACAATTATTATTGCTCGTCCTGTGCCCCTCCTCGCACACGACAGTCGTGACCAACCTTTTAAACCTCTAGTCACGACCTCTTATACATAGCCAACAATAAATCTGTACAACTATGTAATTCAATATGGGATTTGGTCGCGGAACAAGCCGCAGGAGGTCATGTGAGCAGACTTTTCGAGCATCGTACTTTAGGCTTTCCTTTCTTCCCTTTTCACTTTTCCTTCTTTCTTTATTTTTTTCTTTGGGCGTGGTGGGGGGATAGCTGGACACAATGTCGAGCAGAAATTTCAAAGAACAAAGAATCAATGCAGATTATCAGGTTACTCAAATACAATTTCGTCATGAACAAGTCCAGTGACTTGTTATCACATGGAATGTCCAGTGACTCGCAATAATGCCCCGCCTTGTGATTCCGTTCACAAGCGGACCATAATTGATACGTTGTAAAAGTATAAAATGCTCTGTAATACAAAAATACGATACAACACTATACTAATACAACTAAACTACTCTAACTAAGCCCCAATAATGGTAAGGCTTCGATCGAGGCGTGGAAAGACTTGGTCCGAGTAACTAAGGTCAATTAGAGTAGACTACGTCACGAGTCTATAATATGGAATCATGGGATTTTTTTACTAATTCCTATCATTATTACGGATTTTACTTATCGGAGGAGGATTAGTAGAGCCAAACACTTCTACTTAAAGAACTTAGAAGGTTTTCGAACTCTGCATGTTATCCCCTTTATTATGTTACAAAGGTCATCCTTTTTATAGCTTTTATATTACTACTATTCACAGATCAAACTTATTCACTAAATCTACTTAATTCATTCATTAAATTCACTAAGTTCACTTAGTTTGTTAAGTTCGATAAGTTCACGAAATTCGATAGTCAAATAAGTCTAAAGTTTGATTAGTCAAACTTTCGTGACTTTCGAATGAGGTAATGATTTGCTTCCTTTTTCTACCAAAATACTAATCAAATATATATATTTTACGTCAAGCAAGGAAAGATATGGCATATAATCGATAATCGAATTAAGAAAAGAGAAAAAAAGATAATAATACTACTGAGCTACATAAAAAAAAAGAGCAAGGGTAACTAGATGCCATTCACAACGTACGTACGTACTTCATTCTATCGGGATGTACTATTATTTTTTTTTGCAGGTGTACACAGAATGCAGTATGGCGTCATTACGTAGGTACTGTTAAATAAATTTGGAATAAATCGAAGCGTTCGAGTGTTCAAGTAGTTTCTTAAATTTGAAAATTCACTAGGTGATCAAAATGTTGTCTTTCCACTAGACAGATCGATGCAATGAAAATAGTTGCACATTAGGTCTTTACTTTTGTAAATTGTCATTGGATGTCAATTTCGCTTTCTTTGAAATCTTTGAAATTGTCTTAAACTGATCATTACTAATTAGTCTTTCTTTAAAATTTTATTGAATGAAGTCAGACGTTATTAGATTTTCGATTTTTTAAATTTTTATTAAATAGAATTGCATATTCTTAGATTTGCATTTTTTAAATTCCTATCGTTTTCTTTAAAATACTTATAAAAAGAACCATGTTTTTAGATTTTTATTTTAAAATTTTTGTTGGCGAAGTTGCACGTTATTCTCATTTTCTTTAATTCTTATTAGATTGAGCCATATATTATTAAATCTTCTTTTTCTTTTATAATTCTTGATATACAGAATTACACATGATTGGACCTTTGTCTTTTAAAATTATCATTAGGCAGGTGTATATTATCAAGTCTTCACTTCTCTATATTCTACAAGTCGAAATCATATGCTATTTTGTTTTCATTTAATTGAACAGGTGTCTTGACATTATCAAAGGTTCGCATTATTTAGATAAGTTATAAGTAATTAGGCTTTCGCTTGATTAGGTTTTTTTTTAAAAAAATTCTTATTGGACAAAGTCTTCATAACATCAACATTAAAATTGTCCTTTTAATTCATGTGAATTTTTTTGCCATGATATTTTTTCATGAAATTACGTAATCAGTTTTGCAAGATATCACAGAAAAAACTTTACATGGTTATATTATGATAACTATCGTTTTGTTCGAATTTTATTTAAATTATTTAATCTTAAAAGCTAAGTTACTATCATTAAGTTCAATTATATCAAATCACATTTTTTATTAATAGTGTCATACTTAACACGGGTTATTTATTGGTTTCTAAAGTTTACATATTTTTCAAGATTTTGAAATTACGTTAATCTCGTAGCGATTCTGGAGGGTAGATTCAACCTTCACAACCCTCTGTTTCATTCTCTGCAATTGTCTTTTTTATATCTTCCATCTCATTCCGAGATTTTTGAATGGTTTCAATTACATTGATCACATGGTTTGCGGTCAGGGATTCTTCTCTACTCTGAGCCAACGTTCGTGCTGTGTGAAGGACATTACGAATATCACGACCGTTCAATTCATATTTGCTAAAATCATCAGCTTCCAAGGATAGATCAGCATTCCTAAGGAAATTTGTCCAGATTTTATGTCTTTCCTTAAAGCCAAGTTTAGGGTAATGGATAGTCATGTTAATTCGCGAATGTATTGCGTCATCCAAATTCAAGCCACGATTTGTTGTCAAGAAGAGGACACCTGAAAAAGCATAAAAAAACATGGACAGCGTTATAAAATAAAGCATTTGATTAGAAATCATCGATTTAAAAAATAACGAGTAATAAGGAAAATTTTTCATACCTTGATAATATTCTAGTAGCCGCAAAAATATGCCAACTAATGTGTTACGTGTTAGGTCGGCAACATCACGTTTTTCGAGATAAATGTCAGCTTCATCGAGAAGAAGAATAGCATTCCACTTAATGGCGACTTCTAAAACGCTGCGCAATTTATTTTCTAGGCTATATACGAAAAGTGATAAGAATAAGCATAAAATAATGGTATCAGAATGTAACAATTTACAACTTATTTTTTATGTACATTTCAGGATTTGTTCCAAGCTCGTTTACGCTAAGTGTCCATAATGGCCTTTTGAGAAATTCGGCAACGCTTTCAGCAGTCAATGTTTTCCCGGTACCAGGTGGTCCATAACATAAAAAAATACAGCCTTTACCTTTATTGGAAATGGGATCAAGTGGTTTTATTTTCATATGGCCAGATTCACCATACTGCATTACCAGTCCTTTAATTATATCTTTTTTATCTTTGGACATCTCCAATTGATCAAAAGCATTTTCATCAAAATTAATTCTTGAAAGACCCAAAACTTCTAACTGACCCCATTCTTTCAGCGCGAAACTAAACCCGTATACTACCGCAGGTGTAAGAAGATAGAAATCTTCATCTATTTGATCTAACTTGATATAATCACCTTTTCTGGTAAGAAGTTCAATGTCACACCTATTTGGTGGTCTGGCATTTCCCATTCCATAGCCTGGATTCATAGTTGCAAAGCTTTGGAGATCAATAATGACACGACCATTGGCCATTGTCTTTTCTACTTTCATACAACCATTTACTTCCTTCCAGCGTAATAACGAACCATTATAATTCATAAAACAGTTTTGTCTTCTGGAAATTTCCACAAACATTTGTCCTTGTCTAGATATTTCATCCTTTAGCATTTGATTATCATTATCATCATACTCGCGTAGGACAACAGGTAAATATGAGAAGTCCACTTCCCCATCGAAATATTCTATTCTGCGTTTTATAATGCAACGCTTAAATGAGTGGCCATCATGATCGATTATTTGAACATTTATATCAAATATCTTTTTTTGAGTTTTTGGATCAATTCCCTCTAATGCTGAAGAAATTTTACCGCCGATCTTCCGGTTAGACATAATGCATTGACTAATGGAATTTTTTTCGAAATTATCAGTAAATTTATAATGAACAAATAAATTTGCGATAATTTTGGGAAATAAAAAATCATATTAATAAACTCAAATTAAAAATAATTCAGATAAAAATTAACCAATAAAGCTCCTCTATTGATATATTATAATCTTCAATCGATAATTTTGGAAAAAATTTCATGTATTTACCACCATATATCTTGATTTGCAGTATAGAATACCCACAACATGTCAAACGAAACTTTTTTACTCATCTTCATTCTTTCCCGAGTTTTCGTCACCTGATCATATTCTTGTTCAAGGAATCGAATCAAATGATTTACTTGGATCTTCGAGTTATACTCTTGTTCTAAAAGTTGATTCAAACATATTTATTCACAGTTCATTACATGCTGGAAAGTTATTTGGCTTAAAATTTTTTTATAAAGAACTTTATGAGTTCAAGTCACTTACCATTATCAGCAGCTTCGTGCAGCTCATCTAGTACGTGATACAAATTCCGAGCATCAATCCTAGGTTCTTTGTTAAAAATTTCTTTATTGTTAAGGAGGACCGTCTTTAGAATTTCGATCAACGTGAAGGAGTATAACTCGACGAGCGTTTGGTGAAAGCCCCAAAAGTTACATGAATAAATAACATTAAATGGAACGTCCGGGTTTTTTTTATCTTCTTTCTTTTCACGTATCATTCTCCCTTTTCTATGATCGTACCATTCATCAAAGTATTTCCACTTCCAGTTTTCGTCAACTGAGATAACATCAGAGTTATTTTGGACTTCTTCGGTGGAGTTACCGTTTTGCATAATTACAAATAATCTTAAGTATCAAAATTGATTTCTAAAAAAATGTAACTTGTATGCTGCTTCTCGTTATTTATAACAATAATTCCATAGTTAACTGGGTATAGGAAGTCTCGTTAAAACTCCGATTGTACTATGAGTGATACTAATCATGGTTGATGAGTTCCAAAAAAGTATATACATACACTTTATTGATGCTGATAGGTTAGAAAATATTGCATTTGATCTAAATATGCACTAGTTTATACATTTTGCACCGTAACGTAAATACTTTATTGAATTTGATATTTTAAGAAATGATTATACACAGCGAATCCACGATTTCGTGATAACGATAGTGGAAAATTTCTGAGATTCTAATTAGTCCATAATCGTATGTATTTTGAATCAGTACTGTGGTTTGCAAAAAGGCGTGTAATGTAAAATCATGGGAATTAAACGATTTTTCGATTCTAAAGGAATTATACAAATTTCCAAATATGTATAGATACCGCTGATCAAATATAGGTCGCAACTAGGTCGTAACTTTATTCAAAAATAATTTTTTATATAATTACAACCTAGTCACGACCTTATTCGGCACCTTTATGGTTGATAGAAAATTTAGAACCTCCGAATTTCACGAAAATAGTGGGGTCACACCTTTTTCAAACCCTAAATCAAAAAATCGTCTAATCGATTTTACATGACATCTTTATCTGATATGCATAATCTAAAGATTTTGTACGTACAATCATTTCTTAAATTATCAATTTCTATAAAGCAGCCTCTGCAGATCATGATGTCATGTAAAATTGCGATTCTCCGATTCTAGAATTTATTAAAGTTTACAAAAAGGTGCAGTTCAAAGAGGATTTTACAGATTTCCAAATATAGAGATACGTTAAAAGTAGTTTTTCTATAAATTGATTATTATAGCGCTTTTCAAATTACTATAATAATCAAATTCATGCATCACACGCCATGGGAAATCTGGAAATCGGAAATTTATAATTTAACACTAGTTGAAGAGTCAAAAATCAACGTATAATCATTTTATTTTCAGTTTGGCCAATTGATTGCCGAATATATTCCGGTTTATGTCGGCATTCACTGTTCAAAAAATTATATTTTAACTAAATAATACCTGGTACAAATAATAACTTAATTACTGGGTAATAGATGTATTTAAAATATTTACTAGTAATATATTAAGAGAACGCCTATTTCCACCATGGAAATTTGCTATCTCTACCATGCTTTTCATATGACTTTCAGCTACATAAACATGACGAGCATATCATCATGATAAATTACGTTCAATTGTGGAATGATATGCAATTTATATCAATTATTAATTGACCAAGTCATTTTTCAATTTGAAAAGGTTTTGCCGTTCGTCTGTGGCAAAACTCAAAGTTTCGCCTGACAACAGTCAATATAAGAATATATTTACAGGATTAATGTGGCTGAGAACCGTAGCAATATTTCTTTTTGCTTCAGCAACCCAAGATATTTTATTAAATGCCTATAATATCACATTATTGATATAAAAATTAATATTATATCTGAATTTTAACCGAATCATTCATAGAGAGCATATTTAAATTTCATTTACCAAATTTTTTTGCTTTTTGCAATGATATTTATATTATTAAAGGTTGATTCAACCTGAAAGAAAGAACATTAATATTAGCCAAAAAAAAAATCAAACTTCTCATTGGATCAAATGAACTTTTTTAGTATAACCAGATAGATTATTTATAAAGACATTTGGGCACATTTTTTGAGTCCAATCATTTAATATCATTTATTTTGTATATTGGGTCTTTGGCTTAAAATTACCTTCTGACATTTCTAATTGGGTTAATTCAGACAAAAATAAACCTGAGCATTGGTTCATGTTCATATGTTAATTATCTTTTAACTTTATTGATTCAATAGTTTATCGAATAACTATTGAATCAATAATATTAAAAGATGATTAACATATAAACATAAACCAGTGCTTGGGTTTATTTTGTCCGAATTACCAAATTACCAAATTAACCTGATCAGAAATGTTGGAAGGTGATTTTCAAGACAAAAAACCCATATCTCTTAAATTTAATGATTGCAACATTTCAATCAAAATTTTGCCCATATAAACATCATAAAATTTTTGATAATTTAATATAAAAATGATATTATACTTACATTTTTTTTAGAACTGTGCCATCACCCCAACTCAAGAATTTTGCTAAACATTCGAGATCAATAATATTATTTTTTTTAACACTTGTTAAGGTATCTAAGAACAAATCAACTTCTCGCTCTTTATTAGTGATCCATTCTTCTAAAAAAAACCATCTTATAGAGGGTACTGACGATTCTAACGTTGCAAAGTTCTTCTTTTAGAAGAAATTCTTTTATTTTATTAATCAGAATTTAAGAGGATGTAAATCAAGTTTAAGGAAAGAATTAAATGGTATATTGGATGTGAAGTTAAAAAAGTTAAAAGAATATGGAGTATAGAATAAATTAAATGGATAAATTAAAAACAGAATATAGGAAAAAAATTTAAAGAATATTAATCCAAAATATTGGAGATGAAGGTAAATGGAATATAGGAATAAATTAATGAAATAAAATAAACAGAAAATAGAAAATAAATTATAGAAAATAAATTAGATTAAATAAAAAGTAATCAAAATATAGGAATAAATTATAGGAAATAAATTAGGTTAAATAAAAGTAAACAAAATATAGAAAAAAAATTTAGAAAAAATAAATAAAATATATAAAGAAAATAAAATATAGAAATAAATATATAAAGTTAAATAAAAAGTAAACAAAATATAGAAAGGAAATAAAATATAGAAATAAATATAGAAAGCTAAATAAAAAGTAAACAAAATATAGGCAGGAAAAAAATATAGAAAATAAATTTAAAAAAATTTAGACAAAAATTAAAGAAAATAAACAGAATATAAAAAATAAAATATAAGAAAAATATAAATATAAAATAAATAAAATATAAAATATAAATTTAAAAAGTTAAATATAAAGTAAATGAAATATAGGCAAAATATTAAATGAAAATTAAAAAAAATAGAATATAGAATTTAGAAAAAAAATTAAGCAGAATTTAAGAAAAATTTAAAAAAGAAATATAGAAATTTAAATAAATAAATAAAAAATAAATAGTTTAGATAGAATTTAAAAAAAAAAATTTAGAAAGAAATTTAAATAAATTTAGGAAAAAATTGAAAAAAAATTTAAACAGTGTTTAGAAAAAAAATTTAAATAGACAAAATTTAAAAAAGAAAAAAGTTAAATAGACGAAATTTAAAAAAGAAAAAAGTTAAATAGACAAAATTTAAAAAAGAAAAAAGTTAAATAGACGAAATTTAAAAAAAGAAAAAAGTTAAATAGACAAAATTTAAAAAAGAAAAAAGTTAAGATTTAAGACACTAGATAGATTTTAAGACAATTTTATTTGAGAGTTGAATTTAAACAATAAGCAAAATCACAAAGAATAAAATTTTAGATACTGACTCTTTTTATATTTTTCTTTATCGATTTTCTGAAATTCCAAATTCGATACACTATAAAATCAAGAAAAAAATATAATTGAGAATTACATTAGAAGGCGATATTAAAAAAAAAAAAAAAACTAAAGGTACGATTAAGGAGGCACAATAAAATTCCTACAATGGAAGGTGACAAAAAAAAAAACAAGCTAAAAGTATGATTGAGGAAGTGTGAAATAAACAATTGAGAGTTAACATTAGAAGATAAATTAAAAAAAAAACTAAAAATATGATTAAGCAGGCACAATAAAACTCCTAAAATGGAAGGCGACAATAAAAAAATAAAAAACTAAAAGTATGATTGAGGAAGTGTGAAATAAGACAATTGAGAATCGATATTAGAAGGTAAATTAAAAAAAAACTTAACTAAAGGTATGATTAAGGAGTCGCAATAAAATTTCTACAATAGAAGGCAACAATAAAAAAAAAAATAAACTAAAAATATGCGTGAAATAAAACAAAGAGAAATAGAATAGATTAGACAGTTCTTGACTTAGTGTTTGTGAAGAATTCATGCATCACGAGTTATTAGTTAAAATAAACATTTTAGAACTCCGTCGAAATATATGTACATTCATTGTATACAGTGTACAAGTTAACCAGATAAGGTTTGACCCATGTTTGTTGGTTTTAGATCAATTTGCAGCTATCTGCATATGTCACATATTCTTATTTTTGCAAGTAAGACAAACCCCAACAAGGAAACCATTAATCAGTCAGAATCTGAACGCATACGAAAAAGTAAAAAAAAAAAATCTGTAAGCTAACCTGAATTTCAAAATCATATTGTGCAATCTCTCAAAAATTCTGCACAGCCTCACAGGCTGCACAATGAAATAATGTAAAGGCCAAATTAAACTGCAAATGTTTATATCAGTGCTACAATAGTATATCAAGATGTAGAAGTTTTCATATGATATTATTTAATACTTTTCATTATATAATATGTAAATGAGTACTGTATTAAATAAAAAATTATAACGAAAGTACAGTACAATACGTTAAACCTTTTAATATTATTACTGAAAGTAATGTAAATTTACTGCAAAGGGAAACCTGGTAAATTATCTATTTTAAACTATTTATTACATAGATAAATATGACAATAACTTAATAAAAAAAGTTTCACTTTAAAAGTGTAATTAATTTAGACATGATTCAATTGAAGAAATGTTTTAACTATAATGGTTCAAGTGACATTGGACTAACTCAATGAAGCGGCAAATAAAATTCTAAAAATTTTTATTTTGTCAATTTGAAATATATATATATAAATAATTTTTCTACGATTAAACAACAATGTTAAGCTAATTAATATCCCAAGCAATTTACTCAGTCAAATTAATCTTATCAAAATTGTATTTAGAGATATAAAAAAACTATGTCTAATAATGATAACTGATTACATTATATCATAATTTAGAAATAATCAGCAAATTCTTCACTATCGTC